GAAAATCGACTACTTATTCTTTATCAAATATACCTTATGAATTTCAATTAATTCTTCGAGGAAGTCGAGATGGTTTTTATCCCACAACATTTTGGAAGATATGTAATGGACATTCTGGTACAATTGTTCTTGCAAAAGTTGCCGGAACTGATGAAATAGTTGGTGGCTATAATCCTTTAGTTTGGGATCATCCAATAGAAAGTATTGATATGGAAACAAATGATAGTTTCATTTTTTCATTGAATAATGGTAATTTCAAAATTCAATTCTCAGTCGAGTTATAAATAATAGTGAAGCTTTACTCTATCATAATTCTTATAATCAGAATTTTTATGGTCAATATTTTGGCAATTGTGAATTTATGATGAAATCAGAAGTTTTCGATTTTACTCAAGATAAATTATGTTGGTGTGATTGTTATGATGCTTATTATGAAAAACCTATTAGAACAACTAATGAAACATTTTCTATTGTAGATTATGAAGTATTTAAGATTATTAAAAAATGTTAAAAATTCCAAACTGTGAAATTAAATAATATAGTATCATTGTTCAATTTAGCTTATACATTAAATTTTATATTGTACTTTATACTTTAATAAATAAATTAATCGTTATTTCTACGTCATATAAACCCAAAAGTTAATCATACGTTCTGTTATTACGAAATTATCATATTAAAAAAATTATATAATGGCATTCAAATTTTTTTTATTTGTGCAGTTTGAGTCTTAAATAATAAATGACCTTTAAACGCGACCTAACTATTGAACCTTGAAACCAATATTAATAAGATTTTATATATATATATTTTTTCTATTTGAATAAAATTGCATTTATAAAATAGAAAATGTTTCGTAGCTATACCAAATAATCAAGCTTTATTTGTACAAAAAATATGAGCCATCAATATTTAAAATTCATCTGTGCAAAAAAAAAAATATGCCATTGATATTCTATAAAATGATTATATTAAATAGAAAAATTGTATGGAACATTATTCAATAATCTATTTAATTCACATTTACATATTTATCAGTAAGATTGAATTAAAAGCATAAAATAAATTAAAAAGTGAAAATAAATAATCTACAAAATGTACGATAAAAATAATTACTAAAATATAAATTCAATTCATTAATTTATAATTTTTTTTAATAATATATAATATACAATCTAATAAAAATAAAGAATAAGTTTATTATACATACATTTCTCCTGACTTGGGATTAAGATCAATATATTCGAACATTTTCATTTTCAAAATGATTTTCATCTTCTACTTCATATTCATCGTCTTCAAATATTCACCATCTTCTATTTCATATTCATCATCTTCAAAATATTCACCATCTTCAATTAATATTCGCTATTTTCAAGATATTCACCATTTTCAAGACATTCACCATGTTCATCATTTTCTTTAGCGATGCTCTCCAATCTTACATATCATTATGAGATATTATATTGTTGGTATATTGGACATTGTGAATTGTCTAGAAATCAAAAAATAACAGTAGGTTATATATATTTTTAAAATACCAATACACAAAGTTTGATACTTACGAAGAGAATTTCCATTATTTAAGGGTAACTCATTTTTTTTTTTTGATACAGGTTAATATTATTTTTTTCTTCGAAATTTTCAATTTTATTTGATTTTTTTGTTCCTTGGTTTCTCTAAAAATGAAAGAGTTGCTAATTTATTTTTATTTATTGTGTATTTATTTTTAAGAATACATACAAGCATTTTTTTTGACGACAAAAGCTGAACAATTAAGGTGCACAACATTTTTTCAAGATATATAGAAAAAGATAGAAAAAAAAGGTAGTTTAGACCAATGATAGATATTTGTGTTTAAAGTACCTGACAAGCTGAAAGTAAAGAAAAGTATTTAAAGCCACAAAGAGTGTGTAAAGATAAGAGTAAAGTTGAATAAGTACAAGAGTAAAAATAATAACAAGTAAGTAGTGAGTTGATAAATTAAATTTCAAGATCAAGCAAGTAAATAAGTGGATATTTTTATTTAATTTCATGCTTACATGACGCGTCTGAGCCTAAGCTATTATATTTTTATTGCATTTGTATTTTAATTTAATTAGTATGAAGCAAAAGTTTTAATTTCGTTAAAATTAGACGAAGCAAAGATTTTAATTTAGGTTGTACAGTACAATATATGAAATAGATATAATATGTATTATGAATGTTGACAGCCGTCGACATTCTATTTCTACTTTAATTAATTGATAAATAACGTTGTAAATAGTTTCATCTAAAGTCAAAGCACAAATGTATTTTTAATGTTAAAAAAATTCTTTCAATAATAATTGATTGAATTTCGTCATTTTTTTCTTCTATTTTTTAGATTAGTATCTTATCTTTCCAAGGTATATAAACTTCATACTCACGAGTGGCCAACCAATTTCATGGCTGTGGTTTGGTTTCGAAATGAAATGAAAATCCCAATTTACCCAAATGCACATAACTAAGCTTCTCTTATAATTGTATAAATAGTATTGGGAATGGAGAATTTATATTATGAATATCATAAATATAAATAGAGAGATATATGTATGTATGTGGTTTTACCTTCACTCAATTTAGCTTCCTTATGATGAGCTTCGTAAAACAACTTCGAACCAACATCTTCAATCTCATTAATTGTCTATTTCATTCAATTAAATTCTATCAGTATTGCCACTTTCACCAATATAATTAATTATAGATAAATATAAATATATATAGAGATCTAAATTCTAAATTCCCTTGCCATTATTTTTATTATTGTTATGTTCGATCACTAATAATTTGTATTGTGCTACAGATGCATGTATTAGACACGTGATTAACTAACATTAATTCGTGATTCGCGATAGAAGTAAACAAAATGTAGATCCTTTTATAATAAATCATGGGGTTAATATTAATTAAA